AAAAAAAAAAAAAAAAAGTTAATCAGGAGTAAATTTATTAAAAGAAATTAGTTTCTTTTCAGTTTGGTTAATACTCAAGGCACCTTTGGCTTAAGGTTTTTTGGATTGTAGAGTCATAATCAATGCTTAAATGAAGATTTCAATGTAAATAAAATAGGTCTTTTTTTTTCAGACAAGATTCTCGCTATGTACCCTAGGGTGGCCTTGAACTCACTGCAATCATCCTGCCTCAGCTTCCCAAGTGCTGGGATTACAGGCATGTGCCACCACTCCCAGAAAGGTCGTTCATTTTAAAAACAGATATGCCCTGCATAATATCAGAGTGTAAGATAACAGATGCAGAAAGCTTTCTATTTCAAAGGCAGAATAAATAATTCAAACACAAGTTAAGCTTACCATCTGTATTAATTATGCCTAAAGATTTTTTTTTTTTGGTACCGGGGATCGAACTTGGGTCCTTGCGCTTGCACAACAGGCGGCGAAACCACTGAGCTAAATCCCTGGCCCACTTAGCTTTATTTTTTTAAAAACTGAAAAACAAAAACAGTATCCATGCTTAGGCCCCATCCCAGAACAATTAAATCAGAATCTTTAAGAAGGGGGCCCAGAAATTAGTATTTTTTAAAAAGTCATACTGCTTCAGAGAAGTACTGCAGAAATTTGTCAAACCAATGCATTCTGGTTGAGTGGAATACTACACAAGATACACAGCAATTTGACTTCAGGTAATTTATGTCCTTCCAAAATTTCTAGAGGATTGATATTAGCTTTGGAATATTTTGATCAAATTTATTAGTAGTATATACTTCTATATTGTTTAATTCTTTACAATCAGCATATATTATCTCGGATAAAAGATAAAAACATTCAATAATTACATTCCATAAGAGTCAAAGGTAAAATCATCAGTCTAAAATCTATCCAGAAGAAATAAACTGTACTGAATTACATAAAGAGACCATAAACTACCATATTTACTTTCCTTTTAAAAAATAAGACAAAGACTAATTTCCTCAAACTTCCAGGAATGCCAGGGCTGCTAGGAGAGCTATAAGAACACAAAATTTGGAGTGTGGTGGTGTACGCCTATAATACCAGCACTCAGGAGGCTGAGGCAGGAGCATCACTGTGAGGCCAGGGGCTACATACTGAGTTCAAGGTCAACCTGAACTGCATAATGAGACCCGATCTCAAAAAAAAAAGAGAATTTAAGATTTATTGTCTCCTACAGATTGCTACTGGAATGAAGATGATAGAATTTTACTTTCTTAAATCCTCAGAAATTCCTCCCAGGGAATTATTATTCTGCCAAGATGTCCAAGAAGTTTCCACTAAATGTGTCTGCCAGACAGTCAAGAACAGTCTTGCAATGCTATTAATAATCGTCAGAACCTGGAAATGGCCTACATGTAGAACAATAGAATACTGGTTAAATTAATTTGACACATTCATAAGAGAAGTTACCATAGGACAATAATCAGAAGTATTAAAAATAATGACATGTGAAAATGCTCAGGATATATATGTTAATACGGGGATGCAAATACATCTTTGTTTCAATGTATGTACACAGACATGGAAGGAAACACACCAAAGAGAGAAACTGCAGGCGGGGGTTTTAGCCCAGTGGGAGAGTGCCTGCCTAGCATGCACAAGGCACTGGTTTGATCCTTAGCACACCAGGGGGTGGTACGACCACACATCCGTACTTCTAGGTTCAGGGATCAAAGACAATCTTTAACTTTCTCATTTAGTTTTCTTTCCTTTCAAAATGTTCTAAGATAAAAATACTAACTTCTAAATCCAAAAAACAGAAATTGTTATTCTTTAAAACACTTGCATTTTGACCCTCCTTTTTAATCTCCCATTTCTAAACAAATGTAATTAATAAGGTTAATAGCTTGCTGCACAGAAAGTCAGATCTTGAGAAGCATAATGAAAGATGTCTGTATAGAGATGCAAAAAAAATAAACTTTAAAAGAAAAAAAGGACAAAGAAATGGATGAGGTGAGACAAAAATCTTAAGAGAGTTCAGGATCAACTTGTATGAACACCTAAAGGAGAAAGCCATTCCCAATCTGAGAGTAGCTCTGGGTGGAAAACAAATTATACATACATACATACATATGTATAGCTGGGCATGGTGGCACACACCTGTAATCCCAGCAGTCTGGGAGCCTAAGGCAAGAGGATCACAAGTTTAAACCCAGCCTGGGCAACTTAGCAATTTAATGAGACCATTTCAAAATAAAAAATAGAAGAGCTAGGTGAGGTGGCACGAGCCTCTTATCCCAGCACTCAGGAGGCTGAGGCAGGAGGATCACTCTGAGTACAAGGCCAGACTGTGCTACTTAGTGAGTTCAAGGCCAGCCTGAGACCCTGTCTCAAAAAACAGACCAAAAAAAAAAGGAAAAAAAAAAAAGAAAAAAGGTCTGGGGATATAGTTCAGGGCAAAGACTCTGGGTTACAATCCCAAGTACCACAATAAATAAATTTAAAAAGTGGATACCACAGTCGCACTTGAGGTCAGCCCAGAGGGCAGCTGCTATAGAAAATTAATATCTTGAGTTACAAATTACTTTACCAACCAGTCTGCAGAGCTACTTTACCACCCAAGTGATTTAAGTAAGACTGATGATAAGCTATTATAAAACAAGGCACTGGCAGTATAGTTCAGTGGCAGAGTGCTTGCCTCACATACAGTAAGCCTTGGGTTTGATCCCCAGCACCAAAAAATAATAATAATAACAAACTAAAAATAAGTAAAAAGTAAAAGCAAATTCATTTTATTCCTATGTCTTTTTTTAAATTATTTTTGGTTTTGGCGATACGGTCTTGCTATGTAGTTCAGGCTAGCCTCGAACTCACTACATAGCCCAGGATGGCCCTGAACTTGAACTTGCAGCAATCCTACTGCCTTAGCCTCCCAAGTGCTATGGTTACAGATGTGTGCCACCATATCTGGCTCTAAGTCTGTTTTTAAAAATTCCTTGGAACAGCCAGGCATGGTGGCACATGCCTGTAATCCCAGCACTCAGGAGGCTGAGGCAGGAGGATTGCTGCAAGTTCAAGACCAGCCTGGGCTACATAGTGAGTTCAGGGCCAGCCTGAACTATGAAGGGAGACCCTGCCTCAAAACAACAACAACAACAAAAATTCCTTGGAACATAACCAGAAACTGAAAGTGAGGCACATCGGTTTTAAGAAGGAGATCAACTAAGAAGGCTACTTCACCTGTGTTTCCTTTTTCATCTTCTCGAATGTGCAGGTCCTTCATGGAGGTCTCCAATTCTAGAAGATCTCTTAGGTCCTCCTTGTATACTTCTATATAGGATACTTTTATATTAAAGTCACTGCTAGGATTTTCAGAGATGTTTTGAAATATTTCTTGGATCGCTCGAGGAATGATACCCTTTTGACCCTCCACAATTGAAGCTGAAAATTTAGAAAAGGAAAACACATCTGGAACTTGAAATATAAGAAAAGCTACAACTCAAAATTTGTACTTACTAAACTTCTCTTCTTATCTTTCTCTCTTATTATTATTTCTCTAAAATTCACAGGAAATGTTCACAAGCATTCTCTTACTCCGAATTCATGCACTGATTCAGCAAATATTCTGTGACCAAAGAGCAACTGATAAATGATAAGAGAATTATGTGGTACATTAAGAAGCAGTCAGTATGTTTGGAAAGAAAAGAAGGGTAGGTTAAAGGGACTGGGAGTGTGACTATATGGTAGGTGGGAAGTGCTCCCAACTATAAAAGGAAGGTCATAGATATCACTGAGAAGCTGACATTTGAAGAAGGACTTAAAAAGAGAAGCACAGGGGTCACTGAGAAGGCATTATACAGGTGAGATCCAAAAGCAAGGAGGTCAGTGTGGCCAGAACAAAGGGAACAAGGGCAGGAGATGAAGACAGAGGTGACACAAGCCAGAACACAGAGGTCCTGAAAACTCTTGAATTTTATTTACTGCAGTGAGAGCCACTGGAATGGGGCAGGACTTACATTTACCTGAGATTTTAAAAAGAACACTCTGCTTGCTATATTTCACTGGGTAGAAAGAGGCCACTTAGGAGGCTAATGTAGAATCTGGGAGTCAAAGAGGTTGGGGTGGTCAAGATGGTGGCTCACAGCAGGATGACAACTGGATTCTGGATTTATGCTGAAGAGGGAGCCATTAAGATCTCCTGACTGAGGGCAGGTTTGTCTATGTCACATTAACAATACTGCAGTTCATTTCCAGAGAACTGGGTGCTTGGCCAGTTACACTGTACCCTCCACTCCCTAAATTAATGGAGGTGGTCAGATCCTGGGACAGAGGCAAAGGCCTAGTGTTAGTTATGCCCAGAGAACATCACTGAAAGCACACACTAAAGAGAGCTCCAAACTAGCAACAAAGACATTCACCTGTAATCAACCAACAACTCCCAAGGCATATGCGCACACACACACACAGACCAGAAAACAAAAATGCCTCCAAAATTTCCCAACTCCCCCAAAGCTGATCCACGGGGCGTCAGTGGGGAGGAATTCAAGCTAAACAGCTGAATTATATGAAACAATAAAACACACAAAGAAAACAGATCGCTAAGGTACTCATAGACAATAAACACAACAATCACAGAACTTACAGAACATACTAATAAGTTATCTGAGCTGGGTGTAGTGGCACACATCGGTAATCCCAGCACTTAGGAAGCTGAGACAGGATGATCACCACAGGTTCAAGACCAGCCTGGCCTACATGGTAAGAGTTGAAGCCCAGCCTGAAATATATACCAAACCACTGTTTAAAAAAAAAAAAGCTAACTTAGAATAATACAAAACATGAATAATCACATTAGCAAAGAATTAAGAGTTTGTGAAAGGGTATAAAGCAAATCCCAGAGATCTAAAATTCTGTTGGAAGTGTGGGCAGCAGAAGTGACCAGTGTGAAGACAGTGAGGGAACTAGAAGATAAGGCTGCTGTCAGTGACTCTGAATAATATTCACAGACTCCTTAAGAACAACAAGAGAACATGGAAAATAGATCCAACAGCTTCTAGATGAAACACAGAAGACTAATCTAAGATTGAATAAAACTAGTGAAAAATCAGAAGACAACACAAACAGCATAAAAAACTTCTTTACAAAAACCTTTCCAACTATAGGGAAAGAATTTACCATACAGGTATGTGAGGATATAGAACCAAATAGCCAAGCTCAGAAAAGAGCTTTTCCAACACATCACAGTCAAAATTCCAAGTCCACTATAAAAGTTGAATCTTAAAAGTTGTTAAAGGGCTGGGGATTTAGCTCAGTGGTGCTGCCGCCTAACTTGCAAGCGCAAGGTCTCGAGTTCGATCCCCAGTCCCCCCCAAAAAAAGCTATTAGAGAAAAGCAATGCATCACTTATAAAAGTAAACTGATTAGGGTTACAGCAAACTTCTCACCACAAACCTCAAAGAACAGAAGAGCCTGGAATGAAGTGTTTCAAATCCTAAAAGAAAACAACTTCCAACCCAGCTTGATATAGTCTGCAAAACTGTCTTTCATAATTGATAGAGAAATAGAGTTTTCCTATGACAAAGAGCACCTTAAAAAATCATAATCACCACTCCAAAAAATTCTCAAGGATACACGAGAAAAAGACAATAAAGCAAAGGATGCCAAAACATCTAATGGAATGAATACATCAGGTAGGGTGAACAGTTCAGCAGAAGCAGGGAGAAAAAGGAATCAGCAACAGGAAAATAAAGCAATGATAGGAATAAGTCAGCATCTTTAACTGATGTAAATGGACTCCCCAATCAAAAGAAACAGATTGGCAGACAGGATCAAAAAACAAAACCCAGGGTTGGGGATTTAGCTCAGTGGTGCCGCCATCTGCCTTGCAAGCGGAAAGTCCCGAGTTCAATCTCCTGTACCAAAAAAACCCAGCTGTGCATAGTGGGGCATGACTGTAATCCTAGCATTCTAGAGGCTGAGGCAAGAGGATCACCGTGAGTTTGAGGCCAGTCTGGGCTACAATAGCAAGTTCAAGGCCAGCCTGCACTACAAAGCAAGACCCTGTCTCAAAAAACAAAACAAAGAAAGAAAACCCAACAGTATGCTGTATAATAGAGACGCATTTAATCCAAAAAGGAATTCATACACTAAAATATCAAAGAATGGAAAACAATATTCCATGCATTGGGAACCTGAAAACAAACAACTTATCCTATTTTCAGACAAAGTGGACTTCAAGCTAAAACTGATCAAAAGAGGCAAAGAAGGTCACCACATATTGGTTAAGGTAACAATTCAACAAGAAGAGATCGCAATTATAAATATATGTGCACCAAACACAGGCAAATAAAACATAAAGCAAACACTACTGGACATAAAAGAAGAGATAAACATCAACACAATTACAGTGAGGGTCTTCGATGCCCCAATACCACAAATAGATTAACTAGACAAAAACATCAACAAAGATCGATCCCCAGTACCAAAAGAAAAAGAAAAAAATCAACAAAGAAATAGCACAGTCAAACCACACCTTGGAACAAATGGACTTAATAAATATCTACAGAGTGTTCTACCTAACAACAACAAAATAAATATTCTTATAAGTAGCACACAAAACTTTCTCCAAAATAGACCGCATATAGGCTGGGGATTTAGCTCAGTGGTGCCGCCGCCTGCCTCGCAAGCGCAAGCGCAAGGTCCTGAATTCGATCCCCAGTACCGCAAACAAACAAAATAGACCATATAATATCCCAGTGATGGCGAACTTATGGCATATGTGCTGCAGTGGGCTGTTTGCATCACCGAAAGCTCTAAAAGTTTCGCCATCCCTATACTAGCCCATTAAACAGATTTAAATAAATACAAAAGAATTAAAATTATCCCATATATATTATCAGATCATAGTACAATGAGACTAGAATCAAAAGCAAAGAAACTACAAGGACTATGTAAATACATAGAGGTCAAATAATATACTTGCCAGGCATGGTGGTGCATACCTGTAATTCCAGCTTGGAAGCTCAGGAGAGTGAGGCAAAAGGATCACCATGAGTTCAAGGCTGGTCTGGGCTACAAACCATATTTCTCCAAAAATAAGAATGGATCTTATGTTAATTTTTGCTCCAAAAAAATCAACAGAGGTCATTTTCAGAGGAGGCCTTATTTTTTCATGCACAACAATATACATTTATTCATGTACAAAAATCTACATTTATTCAAATACAGTCATGTCCTCTACTTCTGGAACATCACCCTAACTCTCCGAACCTCAAATTCCGGCCTGAATTTCTTGTGACTCCATTTCCTATAGAACCACAGATCCCAATCTCATGTCTAGCAATAGCACTCTCCTTAAATGGGCAGTTTCTGTCCATATAGCCTGCTTGTAGTCCACTGGCAACAGAGCTGCCAGTGATTTTATCCCATGACCCAAGGCATGACCTCTTGCAGGCTGGCTTCACAAAGCCTCCGTTAAGTCAAGCGTTAACTGAAGACTTACAGGGCAGGAGTGGCAGCAACAACGATGACAGTTAGGGATGAGAATGACGGTCCACACAAAAGCAATGAAAAACTGCAGGCAACAAAGTTCAGAAGATGTTTGTTTCACGTGGGCGCATTAATATGCTCATTACAACGCATGATGTATTGAATTATGAAAATTCATATTAGACACAACCGTGTCTGTCCATTATCGAGTATACACATTACCTGTGCATTGTGTCTGTACTCCAGTTGTACGATTGGTGAGTCTTAAGTTCACCTGTTTACACAGGCACTTACCTTTCATCCAAAGGTGCCCGTTTGGGTATTTACAAATATTTATTTATATTTAATGATATATTATTATATTATATTATAATTCAATACATCCATCATGAATTGCAACAGACATACTAAATGTGTCCATGTGGCTGACGATCTTAACCAGGACTTATTTTGGGGGTAGCACTTATATTATGAGCACCCTGAAAAATCATGCTAAGGCTTACTTTCTAGTTAGGTCTTAGTTTTGGAGAAATATAGTAGTGAGCTCAGGACCAACATGAATTATACAGAGAGACCTTGTCTCAACACAAAACAAACAAAAAAAATACACTTACAAGCCGGGGATTTAGCTCAGTGGTTCCGGCGCGTGCCATGCAAGCGAAAGGTCCTGAGTTCGATCCCTGGTACCAAAAACAAAACAAACAACAACAACAAAAAAATACACTTATAAATAATAAACGGGTCACAGAAGAAAAAATGGAAGAAATTAGTTCTGATATCAAACAATATGCCATAAAACATACCAGAACCTACGGAACACAATGAAAGCAGTCATAAGAAGGAAATTTATAGCTGTGAATGCCCACATCAGAAAAACAGAACAAGCTCAAATAAATAACCTAATGATACACTTCAAGGTAGAAAAACAAGAACAATCCAAATCCAAAACTAGTACAAGGAAGGAAATTATAAAGATCAGAACAGGAAATTAATGAAATTGAGACTTAAAAAGAACATTAAAAATCAATGAATCAGAGCTGCTGCTTCTAAAGAATGAACAAAATAGACAAACCCTTAGACAATCTTATCACAAAAAGGAAAGAAAAGACCTATGTCGATGCAACTAGAAATAAAAAATGTGAGGGCCGGGGATTTAGCTCAGTGGTGTCACCGCCTGCCTCGCAAGTGCAAGGTCCTGAGTTCGATCCCCAGTACCAAAATAAAAAAAGAAATAAAAAAGGTGAAATCACAACAGGCACCACCGAAGATTCAGATTATCAGTAACTAGTCTGAAAAGCTGTACTCCAATAAACTGGATAATCCCAAAGAAACTGATAGCTTCCTAGATATATATGAATTACCAAAACTGAATCAAGAAGATTAAAAAACTCTGACCAATCTAATAACAGGCAATGAAATTGAGGTAGTAATAAAAACCCTATCAGTTGGGTGTGGTGGCACATGCCTGTGATCCCAGCACTCAGGAGGCTGAGGCAGGATGACTGCCACATGTTCGAGGCCAGCGTGGACTACACAGTGAGACCTTGTCTGAAAAAACTAAATATAAATATATACGTATAAATATATATATGTAAGTATATAAAACCGACAAACTAAGAAAAGGCCAGGACTCAAAGGATTCACTACTGAATTCCACAATAATTTCAGGGAAGATCTAACACTAATACTCTTCAAACTCTTTAATGAAACTGAAAAGGAAAAAGAAGTGACAAACTCACTCCTGGAAGCTAGCAATACCTTCACTCCAAAGCCAGACAAGGACTCAACCAAAAAAGAGAATTATAGCTCAATCTCTAATGAATATAGATGCAAAGATCCTCATTAAGATACTGGCAAACAGAGTATAGGAAATCATTAAAAGTATCATACATCATGACCAAGTAGGCTTCATACCAGGGATACAAGGATGGTTTAATATATGCAAATCACTAAGTGTATTATATCACAGAAACAGAAGCAAAGGCAAAAATCACACGATCAGGACAGGGTTGTAGCTCAGTGGTGCTACGCCTGCCTGGCAAGCGCAAGGTCCTGAGTTCCATCTCTGGTACCAAAAAAAAAAAAAAAAATCACACGATCATCTCAACAGGTGCAGTTTTTAAAAAGCCTTTGACAAAAATCTAACATCCATTCATGATTACAAAAAAAATGAAGGGCTGGGGATTTGGCTCAGTGATTCCGCTGCCTGCCTCGCAAGCGCATGGACCCGAGTTCATTTCCTGGTACCGAAAAAAAAAATGAGAGAAATAGGTATAGAAGGACTTTACCTCAATTTCATAAAGCCATTTTTGATGAACTCACTGCCGACATCATATTGAATGGTGAAAAGCTGAAAGCTTTCCTTCTAAAATCGAGAACAAGAAGGGCCGGGGATTTAGCTCAGTGGTTCTGCTGCCTGCCTCGCAAGCACAAGGTTCTGAGTTTGATCCCTGGTACCAAAAGAAAGAAATGAAGTTCCAATGCATGCTACAATATGCTAAGTGAGAGAAGACATAGAAAGTCAAATATTATATAATTCTGTAAAATATCTAGAAAAGTCAGTTTCATAGATAGAAAGTAAATTAGAGATTACAAGGGGCTGGGAGTTATTGTCTAATGGGTACAGAGCTTCTGCTTGGGACAATAATGATTTTTGGAAAAAGTGGGGATTATTTCATTATTATTGTTAATGTATTTGATGCCACAGAATTATACACTTAAAAGTACAAGGTAAGACAGGTGTGGTGGTGCACATCTGCGATTCCAACACTCTGGAAAGCTGAGGGAAAAGGATCAAAAGTTCAAGCCCACACTGGATAGTTTGGCAAAACCCTGTCTCAAAATAAAAAATAAGCTCTGGGTGAAGGCTCTGGGTTCAATCCCAAATACTGGGGAAAAAAGTGCCAGTTAAACGGTAAATTTGGCTGGGGAATATAGCTCTGGTGCCACAGCTGCCTGGCGAGCACAAGGTCCTGCGTTTGATTCCCGGTACTGGAAATGGTAAATTTAAGGTTATGCAAATTTATATTTACATATAACCATGATTTTTAAAATAGTAACAACAAAATGTACAAGATAAAATTTGTGTATAAGGTAAAATTTTAAATAAATAGAGAATAGGGCCGGGGATTTAGCTCAGTGGTTCCGCCGCTTACCTCACAAGCGGAAGGTCCCAAATTCGATCCCCGGTACCAAAAAAAAAATAAGAGACGGATAAACTGAGATTTTAGACTAAGTTACAATAAGTCAGGTTAGAAAATCTGCGCACCATTTTTACCATTGTTGTATGACAAATACATTCATAGTAATATTGGCTTATAAATGAACCTTTAAAACAACTTCTTCCAAGTAGATTATAGAAGCTTGTATTTTTGGCAAAGACTGTTCTGAAGATCTGAACCTTTATGAACTTAGATGGTTGTCTGTCACCTAGTTTGCTTGGTTTTTTTGTACCCACAATCGAATTCAGGGCCTCGCCTTGTGCTTTCTAGGCAGGCACTGTACCGCTGAGCTGCATTGTTTTGTTTTGTTTTCCCCTGGTATTGGAGATCAAACTCCAGACTTTGCACTTGCCAGGCAGGCGCAGGTCCACTGAGCTACATCCCTGGTGCGTGTCACCTAATTTAAGATGCAAGACTGTCATCACGTGGGGAGTAAAGGAAATGGCATGTTTTTCCAATACAAAGGATACACTGAAGATTTCTTTTTAAAAGCTTCCAGGAATTAGCCAAAAGAAAATGAACGTTTTTCAAACTACAGAATAAGTAAACAATCCATATTATCCAGAATATATGACCTACCAGAAATAGCTCCTTTAATCTTCTACTTCAACAGAAAACAAAGCACAATAGTTTAAAACATTTAAAAAGCTAAATTTCAAATATTTATATTAAAACTTAAATATGTATTTTGGTAACCTAAATATCATATAAGCAATATTGGTCTCATATTCCTAAAATACACTATTTCAGAGAAAAAACTTATAAATTTTGATAGTTCAACAGCCATCATCAGCCATTACATATTATTAAAATGGTATATAAATCTGGGCCCATGCTGGGAGTGGTAATGCAGGCCTGTAATCCCAGCACTCAGGGGCGGAGGTAGGATGACTGATGGACATCCAAGCCCGGCTGAGGCCACAGATTGAGTCCAAGGCCAGCATGGAATACACAGTGAGACTTGTCTCAAAAGAGCATCAAAAAAGGAAAAATTAGTTTGTGCTCATGGCCTCTAGTAAAAGTCAAAATACCTAAAAATACCTATTAAGGAAGAAAAGGTCCAAAGGGGTAGGGGTAGTGGGAGGGGCAGGGGAAAGGAAAGAAGGGAAAGGAAAAATGATGAGAAATGGAAAAAATTGAAATAAAGTCTTTGTAAATAGAGGGGGTGAAGGGAGGGCTAGGAATGGGGAAAAACTAAGAACCAAGATGCATTATGTAAAGGTACAATTCCCAGTGAGAAATGTAATTGTGTTGTCTACCTACAATGTACCAATAAAGGAATTTAACAGAAAAATAAAATAAAATAAAAAATACAAATACCTATTAAAAAGTTACCAAATTCTGAATATTTTGTAACTTCTATTACCATAAAGCCAGGCATGGTGGCACATGCCTGTAATCCTGGCACTTTGCGGGGGCTGAGGTAGGAGGATCTCAAGTTTGAGCCCAGTCTGGGTAACTCTAAACTTAGTGAGACCATCTCCCAAAATAATAATACTCATTACGTTAATCTTGAATAAAATCTTCCTTCATGTAAAAGAAAAAAAGTTTGCTTTTAGCAGAAAAAAAACAAGTATGGGAGGGTGGCTCAGTGATAGTGTTTGCATAGTGCCCAAAGAAGAAGAAAGGAAGAAATCAATATAGTAAACCATCTCCACAGGGGTCTTGGCTTTCAGTCTCCCGCTCCTTCAGCCACCTAATTCACCATCTTTTCCTCTCTCCATTGCTAGAGCTCCTCATTTAGAAAGAAGACTGAGACAAATGGTTACCAAAGTTCCCACCAGCTCTACAGGAAATCCCATGGCTCTACGTTTCCAAACTATTACTACAATTAGGAGAAATTACATCTTAAAATCAAATACAAATATGGCAAGAAAAAAAAAGACACTAAACTACAAAATAAATTTCTCCTATTGCCTCTAAACTCTGGTTGCAAGACCCTTAGTATTTGTAACTGGCTAGATAAAGGATGCAAAATATGATCATGTCAACTCATTTAGATCTATTTTAAATTCTGTTCAAAATAACAAGGACTGAAAATTGAATATTGTCTTAAACTTCTTCCCTCAAGAAAAAAATCATAAATTAGATTATTTAATAAAATTTCAATATTTTTTTCTTGGTACTCAGGTCCTTGTGCTTGAGGGGCAGGCGGTGGAACAACTGAGCTACATCTCCGGCCCTGAAATTTCAATATTTAAAAACAAGTCTCGGGCAGGGGATGTAGCTCAGTGGCATCCCACCTGCCTGGCAAGCAAGAGTCCACAGTTCAATCCCCAGTATGGGGGCGGGGGGGGTGGTGACGGGAAACGGGACACGGCACTTTCAAAGATAATGATATTACCACCACATTTGATTTATTCATTCTTTCATTATTCAATCAATATGTCAAACAACTACTATGTGTCAAGTACTATATTTTAGCTTCTTTCTAGTGTCTCAAAAGTCCAAGACTATGAGAACCTTACCAACGTGGCCTCCTCCAATGGTGTATGTCTTCCCAGATCCGGTTTGTCCATAGGCAAAAACAGTTGCATTATACCCCTCAATGAGTGACAGCACCAGGGGTTTTATACACGTATTATAAATTTCATCTTGAGTGGAACTTTTGCCAAAAACAAAATCAAAAGTAAAGACTCTATCTCTTCCAATGATAATTTGCTGGGTGTTTGGAATAACTCTCACACAAACTTGATGATTATGAAGAACTTCTTTGCAAAGCAGAGGTCTAACTCTTACAGCAACTTTTACTGGTATTTCCTCCATGGCAGCTTAGATTTTTATTAAATAGATTATCTACTTGATATTCGGTATCAAGTGTGAGAAACATCCACTTTACATAAGAGCTGGACACCTGTATATCAAAATAAAAGACCAATTTCAATTACCAACTTCACTTATCCTAATAAAATTACACAACATTCATCAGACCAGGTTCTTTTCCAGGATAGTATAGTTACAAAGAGTACATATGTCTTATAAATTATATCATTAATTTACTGATGAAATCATATAATGTCTGGATTTGCTTTAAAATAATCAAGGCGGGCTGGGGATTTAGCTCAGTGGTTCCGCCGCCTGCCTCGAAATCGCAAGGACCCGAGTTTGATCCCCAGTACCAAAATAAATAAATAAAATAAAATAAAATAAAATCATCAAGGGACTGGGGCCTTCAGTTGGTAAACTGTGAAGCTCAGTGATAAGTATAGGAGATTCCACTATACCTTAATTTTTATAGTTTCACAATTTATTAATCTAAATATTGAATAATTGAGGAATTAGAAAATTCAAGCAAGGAAATAATTGAGGAATTACATGTGTTAAAAGCAAACATTTCTTGGGGATTTAGCTCAGTGGTTTTGTTGCCTGCTGTGCAAGCGCAAGGACCTGAGTTCGATCCCCAGTTCCAAAAAATAATAATAATTTTTACAAAGCAACCATTTCTACTAGATTTTATACATATTTATTGGTTGGGTTGTTTTTGGTACTCAGAATCGAACTTGGGACCTTGCACTTGCAAGGCAGGCAACTGAATCACTGAGCTAAATCCCCGGCCCGTACAGATACTTATTTAAAAATAGCATCTTCTCTTTGCCACAGAATCTGGAAATAAATCCCTAAAAACAGTTTTAGGAATTTCTATAGGTCAATACACATTTACAACTAAATTTTATATTTTAAATAATCAAAACTAAAATGAAAACTGTTTTACTCCTAAATATTGTGTTGTACTGCTTTCTGAAGATTTCTTAAATTAATATGTTAAAATTTAAACTGGCAACTATACTTACCTTGAAAACCCTGAAAATTTTATGAAGAAAGCAATTCTACTTACAGTAGCATCAAAAAAAGCTTAAGAATAAATTTAACAAAAGATTTATAATTCTCATCTTCTAGAAACTATACAATGTCATTTTTAAAAAGTAAAAGATCTAAATAAATAAAACATTCCTAAATTCATGGATTAGACTGTTTAATATGGTTAAGATATCAACATTCCCCAAAGTGACCTATAGAGTCAATGCTTCTCCTACCAAAATGTCAGCTGACTTCTTTGAAGAAAGGACAAGCTCATTTGAAAGTCCCTAGGGCTGAGGATTGAGCTCAGTGGTTCCGCCACCTGCCTCAAAAGCGCAGGTCTGGAGTTTGAACCCCAGTACCAAAAATAAATAAATAAATAAAGTCCCTAAACAAATCTGAGTGACACAGACTAGCCAAAACAATATTGAAAAATAACAAAGTAGGACTTGCAATTCCCTAATTTCAAAAACAATCAAGAGGAGGCGCAAGGGATATAGCTCAGTGGTACAGTGCCTGCCTGGCAAGCGCAAGGCCTTGAGTTCAATTCCCAGTACCAAAAAAAAAAACAAAAAAACAAATCAAGACAATGTGAGACTAGCATAAGGACAAACATATAATCAACAGAATAGTAATGAAAATCCAGCTGGGCATGGTAGCACATGCCTGTAATCCCAGCACTCCGGGAAGCTGAGATGAGGACTGTCTGGCAATCGAAAGGTCCTGAGTTCAATCCTGGTACCGAAAAAAATAATAATAATAAAAGAATTTTATTACCACAAAAGACACATTCCCATTAATACCCCTCAAAATACTTTCCCTCACTTTGAACACACTATCTCATCGTTCTTGCCAATTTTTGAAGCAGCTCTGGAAGTCCTCTTCTGTGAGTGTCTTTAGTTACATTTCATGGCTGCCTCGATGTGCTGAGTCAATTTAAAACAACCTTTCACAGTAGTTATGATTTGGGTATAGATGTCCTCCAAAGCCTCATGCAGTCAGAGAGCTTTTTCAGAGGTGGCTGAATCTACACTGTGTGATGCTAGGTTGAAGGGCTGGTGACTACTAAACCAGTAACTGATTGTTTTGGCACCACCCTAATCCCTGTAGTCTGGGTAAGATAAAAGGGGCAGAAAGATGCTGTTAAGGTTCCTTTGCTCCCGTTGGTGTTTTTACTACCATATGGGAGCCAAGAACTATTTCTCCTCTGAGACGCCTCTCTGCCTTGGAGCCATCCAAACAGGGATGGAAACCTCTACAAACTGTGAGCTAAATAAACCCTTTCCCTTTTAATTTTCGATGTCAGGTATTTTGTCTCGACAAAGAGAAAAAAGTAACTAAGAGAATGGTTATTCTTACTTTGGACAAGAGCCAGAAGTTGCAAGGTGCCAGAACTGGTGAATAAGGAGATGAGGACTCATTGTAATATTTCTATGAGCCTGCCTTTCCACTGGATGGCATCCAACAGCAGCATTCACAATATTTTTTATCACACCCCATAAAGACACCCAAAAGAGAGGACATTCAGAACTGATTCAGAAAGTGGCAAAAAATGATGGCATAAGTATCTCTGAAATAAGGGGAAGTATTTTGAAGAGGATTACTAGTAATGTGTCATTTACTGTAATAGTTTTAACTTGAACATTCACCGTATATTTTGATCATCCCTTGTACAAAAGTGACGTAGGAGTTCAATCCCCGGTTCTGCAAAAAAAAAAAAAAAAAGTGAAGTGGGACCTCTACTTCCCATGATGTACAAAAGGTCACCCAAAACTGAGCATATCATCATGTTGAGCAAAATAAGCCAGACTCAGAAAGTCAAATATTGCATGTCATCTCTCATATGTGGATTCTTTTAAAAAATTAAAATAATAAAAAGAGAGTGATGACAGGAAAATAAAAGGGAGACTATTAGAGAAGAGGAAGGGGATGAGGGGAGGGGAAAGGGAAAAGGAAGGAAGATAATAGGGGAAATGAAAATAAAGTATATTATATGAATGTACAAATGTACAAAAAGAAACTCAACATTCAGTATAACTAATGTACACTAATAGAAAAGAAGAGAAAAAAAGGAAAAGAGATCATAGACCTAAATATAAGAGCTGAAACTATAAAACTCTTAAAACACAGGACCCTTAAGACTCTATGACCTTGTATTTACAATGGTTTCTTGGATATGACACCAAAAATAAAAGCAACACAGGAATAAAGTAAGACCAACTACACTTCAACAGCATTTATTTAAAACTTTGTTCCCCAAACAATATCCTCAAGAAAGAGAAAAGGCAACTCAGTGAATGGAAGAAAATATTTGCAAGCCTTGTATCTAATAAGGGACTTGTATCATAACATATAAAAAATGACTACAACTCAATAATTTTTAAAAGCAATTTAGAGCCAGGCATGTTGTGCACACTTGTATCCCGAAGCTGAGGCAGAAGGATCAACACAAGTTCAAGACCAGCCTGGGATAAATAGTGAGTTCAAAGCTAGCCTGAACAACATAGAGAGACCCTGTCTCAAAAAACTGAAAATAAATAAAGAAAAAGCAATTTTAAATGGGAAGAAAACGTAGTTCTTCAAAGAAGATACACAAATGGCCAATAAGCACATTCAAAGTTGCTCCACACATCATCAGCTATCATAGATTTCAATCAAAATCACAATGAAGGGGGACCTCAATACCTTGCTATCACAAATAAATCAACCAAACAAAATATCAGCAAAGAAATATCTGAGTTAAACCAAACCTTTGAACAAATGGACTTAACATATCTACAGAGTGTTCCATCAACAATAATAGAATACACATTCCCCGCGGCAGCACCAGGAAGTTTTACAAAATAAACCACCTATTAGCAATTAAAGTATGCTTAAGTAAATCCAAAAGAATCGAAAGTTTACCACACATATTATCAGATCATAATACAATAAAACTACAAATCAATAGCAAAAGAAACCAATAAAATTATGCAAATGTATGGAAATTAAACAATACACTTTTGAATAATGAATGGGTCACAGAAGAAATTAAAGAAATATGACCCCTCCTAAAATTAAATGACAATGTCAGTACAAAATACCAGAACTTATGGAATACAATGAAAGCAGTCCTATGAGAGAAGTTTATAGCTGTGAATGCCCACATCAGAAAAACAGAAGCAGCCCAAATAAATAACCTAATGATGCACGGCAAAGTCCTAAAGAAACAAGAACAATCCAAATCCAGAGCTAATACAAGGAGGGGAATTGTAAAGATAAGAGGAGAAATTAATAAAATGGATAGTAAAAGAAACAATACAAAAAATGAATGTATCAAAGAACTGGTTTGTGATCGATGATTGTGTCAATTTGAATAAGTAATGTCCAAGTAAATTGGCTCAGCATAGTTCTGGGTGTGGAAGACTCACTCTAGGCAGGATTGTCACCAGAATGCTACCCTAGGGAAACTAAGAAGGAAGGATTATTTGTGTTTTCTTTCAGGGAGCTCCAGTCTTCACTTTCAACTTGAACGTTGTCTCCTGGCTTCCAGCTCAGACTCTTCAGCCTTCCAGAGCAGACTTGTCAGCTTCCAGCACCGACCCTTCAGGCTCCTGGTGCAGACCCTTCAGCCTTACACTGAAAACCCTTCAGCCTCTTGAAACGGACTCACACAGGACACTACACAGAGCTCCAGGCCTTCAACTGGATCCTTCAGATCCCGAGTGCATAGACAGACCTTTTGCATCTTCCACCCTTGACTCTGTGGGTAGTCACTGTAAGCCAATAAATTTATTATAAATTATTATAAAATTATCACTAAAATCCGATAAATTTGTACATCTTCTATTAAATCTGTTTCTCTAGTAAGCATGGACTAATACATGACTCTTTGAAAGAATAAACAAAATAGACAAACCCTTAGCCAATCTTATCAAAAAAAGGAAAGAGCTATGTCAATGCAATTAGAAATGAAAATGGACACTGCCAAATTCCAGACCATTGTTACTACTTCACAAACCTGTATACCAATAAATTGGAAAATTCAGAAGAAACGGAGAAATTTCTAGGGACCAA